ATCCCGCAAAACACGACGCCCGAGGACCTTCGCAAGGCCTTCACGCGCCGCGAGGGCGACATCCGTGATGCCTACATCCCGAAGGATCACATGACGGGCGAGCACCGTGGCTTCGCCTTCATCGAGTTTGCCGATATTCGTGAGGCCCGCGAAGTCAAACATCAGATGGACCGCACACAGTTTATGGGTGTCGAAATCGGTGTCCTTTCGCCAAGGAGCGCCGCAAGACGCCGGAGCAGATGCGTCGGCAGGAGGCCATCGATGCCCGCGCGCGCGAGCGTCGCAGCCGCAGCCCCGATCGCCGCAACAGCAGCCGCGACCGCCGCCGTCGGTCGACGTCGCGCTCGCCGTCGCGCTCGCCATCTCGTGAAAAGGCGCGTCGCAGCCAGAGCGGCAGCCCTGCCAAGCGCAAGAACTCGTTCGGTATTATCTCTCTCTTCATCATCGCCTCCACACGGCGCTTATGGTGTCCTTGGCTAGAGTAATGCGGATGCGATCCACTCCGTACACTGCGCAGCATTGTGTTGTTGGTCGCACCACCTCTAAAACCGTGTGTAGATGCGCACGCGTCAAGGCTTCGTTAACTTGATGATCCAAGAAGAGTGTGTCTTATCATGAGTCATGTTCAAGTCCTTGCAAGAAAGATGGTCAAGCGCGAAGCACGCGCATCAGGAGCCCAAGGCAAGGGTGCACACGTCAAGCGCAATCCTCCCGCGCAAGTAGAGACACACAAGAAGCACGCTCGCGTCGACTTAAGCACCAATCTACAGTATGCGCTAGCCGCCAATGAGGATCATCGGGCGGTTCTTGGCACTGGCAATGCCATACATGTCACCGTGGCCGCCGAGCGCAAACTTTTTCCGCTTCACCGCGGCCTGCACAATGAGCCGGAGCTCGTCGTCCGAGAAGCCGGCGCGAAGGGCGTCGCGGAGGCTCACTTCCGTGTGGCCGAACAAACAAACCTTGAGGTTGCCGTCGGCCGTGAGCCGGAGCCGGTTGCAGCCGCCGCAAAAGTGCTCGCTCATGCTCGTGATAAAGCCGAACCGACCACGCGCGCCGTCGATCGCGTAGGCCTTGGCCGTGTCGTGGTCGTCGTCGGCGAGCTTGCGCGTCCGCAGCGGGAACGCTTCTTCGATGCGCGCGAGCATTTCGCGGTACGGTACAAAGGTGCTGTCGCTCCACTTATTGCTGTCGAACGGCATCCACTCGATGAAGCGGACGTCAATTGGCTTGTCGATCGTCAGCGCGACGAAGTCGGCGACTTCGGACAAGTTGAAGTCGCGCATGACAACGCAGTTGAGCTTGACGGGCACAGACGACGTCGCGGCGGCGACTTCGATCGCTGCCATCACCCGCGAAAAGCCCTTCCGGCGCGTGATGTGCTCAAACTTGCGTGCGTCCAGCGTATCGAGCGAGATGTTGAGCCGCGTGTTGAGCGCCGTGAGCGCCGACGAGTGCTTCGGTAGCGCAATGCCGTTGGTCGTGACGCCGACCGACTCGATGCCGGGAATCGCATGCAGCGCCTGCGTCAGCGGCACAATGTCCTTGCGCAGGAGCGGCTAATCCAGTCATACAGGCATGAGTTCTCCGTGCAGGACGCAAGACGTACTTCGCCGCCTGTGAGCCGAAGCTTTGTGACGCCGTGGGCCGCAAAGAGCGACGCAAGCCGGACGATCTCGTCCGTCGTGAGCATGTTATCGGCGGGCTGCAGTGGCACGCCGTCGGCTGGCATGCAGTACTGGCACCGGAGGTTGCAGCGCTCTGTGAGCGAAATACGCAGATAGGTATGCACACGCCCAAAGGTATCGACGAGGTTGTCTTCCTTCTCCTGTGCCGTACGCTATAAGACGTGCAGACGAGCAAATAGCTGCACTGTACCGCGGCTTGGAGCTGCGCGACGAGCGCCCGCATGGCCGCCACGTTGTCTTCGGTCGATGGTGCTGCTGGCTCGCCCGAAGAGCGTACAAAGTCTGCAAGCGACGGACCGGCCTTGAGCCTTGACCGTCGCGGCGTGACGGTCGAGAGCGCGCGCCGGAGCATCCGCGCTGCCATTATAGCGACAAATCAGATCGAGAAATCCGGATACGCTCGTCCGGAAGCTTCCACAGCCAAAGACCTTGCTTTTTGTATGGCGCGAGGGGTCGGGCTGAGCTTGCAATTTGGTGCAATGTCGGTGATTTTACGGTATATTTGGACCTTTAACGTAGAGTTGTACGGTCCGACGTTTCGGTCATTTTGACTATTATACGGTAATAACTGGGTGCCGTTTAGGATAAACCAGCAACGGAAACACGGCGACGGTACCGTACAAACAAACAATACTCGACGACATCAGCACTTGACAAGCTCACTTAACAGTCGTGCCATCCGACATGTCCGAGATGTATCGAGCCAACCGGCGTCTGGTCTCGCGTGACAATGCAACCCGGCCAACGATATTAGAGCGCCATCATCGCATAAGATCACCCACCATCCAGTGGTATGTATGCATGGAGCTGAGTTCTCTGCCTGTACGTGTCGCCTACGAGAGCCAACACCGATGGCGGTGCGAGAGTACAAGCTCGTCTCGATCGTCAACAACGTGCGCGAGGGGCCACTTCCGATCGCAGTTGCACTGATCCCAATCACAGCAGAGACGCTCGACCCCTCCCGACCCGGTCACCTCCGTCCGATGCTTCGTATTCAGCACCACGTCGCACATGTCATTGAGCGAGTCCAGTCCTGGGGCTCTTCTAGAAAGATGGAACGTTGACTGGTCATCGAGCTAGCGTGGCAGTCTTGTTATCGGGTGGCAGGTCAATGCGCGGCCGCAGCGATTCTTTATGGCTCTGGCCAACGCATACTGGTCGTAGTTGGCGTCCTGTATTCATCTCTCTGCCTTCATGACATGCAGGGCTGTGGGCAGTGGCCACTGCAGCTAAATTCGGGGTTTTCGTTCGCACCACTTTTGTCGTGCTGGGCCAGACCACATTGGGAATCGCACTGCTGAGAGTATATCGAGCGCGTTGGCTCGTTCATTACCGTGTAAAAGACCAGCTTTCGCCACGTCCAGTGCTACGGGAGCGACTCGGTGTGCATGGCAATTGGTGTGCTTCTCGTCAAAGGGACGGCGCCGCAAGAATAATGGGAGCAGCTGGCTCCATGTTCCAAGCTATTAAGGGTACGATTGCGTAGCTGCTTGCCTCATCATAACGACCTTTTCTTCTCGTCTCCGCGTCCGCTTCAATCTTCGTGGATCCAAGATCGCCGTCCATCTTGAAGTTTCCCTGACGTTCACGTGAGCATATCCTAGTTAGGACTTTGCCATCTGGTCCAAACATCCGAATTCCGTCCTTGCTGCGTTCGGCCCTACAAAAAGTCCGAATTTAGATTGTTGCAGCAGGGCGTTTGCGTCACTGTGTACGTAAGCACCAAAGGTCATTTTGGGCGCCGGGCACTTGTGAATTGACCGTCCAAGACACTCATGGCGACGGCGACGACGATCGCACTCGACTGGATCGAACGCTACGACAACCTCGACCTGCTCGAGCCCTACTGGGCAGCGCTCCAAGCGCGCTGCTCGGACTTTACCATTTACTTTTGGTGCACGCTGACACTCTCGACCCTGGCGCTCTTTGGCGGCTCGCTCGTCTACGCCCTCATGGACGCCACGCCCGCGCTGCGCAAGTACAAGATCCAGCCGACAAAGCCTCCGACCATCGCGCTCTACCTGCGCTGCCTCAAGCTCGCGGTCGGGAACCACCTCCTCATCCACATGGGCTTGCTCTGGGTCAACTTGCCGCTCATGCAGTGGCTCGGCATCTCGGTCTCGTCGCCGCTCCCCAAGCCGTACGCATCACGACCTCATGGATATATGTATCTCGATATTGATCAAATGCGTAGGTCGACGATCGCGCTCCAGTTTGTCGTGTGCATGCTCACGGAAGACTTTTGCTTCTATTGGTGCCATCGCTTCTTGCATTGGAAGCGCATCTACAAGCACGTGCACAAAGGTACAACTTCTTGAGATCTGAGATCTGATTTCGGAAATCTAGTGCACCACGAGTACCGCGCGCCGTTTGGACTCACGGCCGTGTACACGCATCCGCTCGAAGAGATTTTGACGACGGGCGCGACGATGGCAGGCCCGCTCCTCGTGTGCCGGCACATGCTGCCGATCTGGATCTGGACGACGTACCGCTTGCTCGAGACGATCGACTCGCACTCAGGGTTTGAGTTTCCGCTGGCGCCCGGCCATTTGATTCCGATCCTGAGCGGCACTCTGCGTCACGACTACCACCACGAAAAGTTTGACTGCAACTTTGGCTCGATGTTTTCGTTCTGGGACTGGGTCTGCGGCACGGACGCCGCGTTCCGCGAGGTCCAGCGTGCCAAGGCGGCCAAGGGCGAACCGTGCTGGCTCGACGTCTTTGACTACTTGACGCCAGGAGTAAAGACCAAGACGGTGTAGGCCACGTCCTCGTCCAAACGTGACTGTATGAATTGTGTTTTGCGTCATTCGATTCTGTCCCTGCATAAGGCTTGAATGTACAAGGATGCGACTCTCCTGCAGCTCGTCATTCACGTAGACTTTCGACGTCTTTTTCGCAACGAGCAAACGCGGCCGGGTTCACCGTTAGGGGCACGCTATGAGCACCATTCTTTGGTTTTTGGGCTTCCCGTGTCATCGGCTATACATATAGAGTGAAACACGAGACTTCAATTCAAACTTCAAAAGTGCGCAACGAACTGCCGAGCAGCGGCGCAGTGCACATTTCATCCGGATGACGATGTCCGGATACAATCTGCGCGCCATGCCGCTTGGCCAAGACATCTTTCGGCATGAAACGCGATTTCGTCGACTGGTGGACTGGTGAGACCTCGTTTGGTGGCGAATGCCTCCGCGAGATTGATGCGAAGCATGGCGTCTTGAACCCGCACCAGACAGTCATCCAAACGCTGTGCCGTACCCTCAAAGTTTTCGACGACGATCGTCCCTGCGCTCGGTTTTGGCGATTTCCACACAGCGGGATGGGTGCTTCAACCTCGGCGTCGAAGGGACAACCATGCGAGGGCTTTGCCGGCGACCCCACGCGCTACAACCAAGTGACACAACCTCTCGGAGCCGACAAACTTTGCGGCGGCCGTGATCCACGAGACAACTCGCATTGTCAATATGAGGCGGCACCACTAATACCACATTCTCGTCATCATTGCCGACGGACAAATACTACGCTAATTGCCATTTTGCGTGTTTGGTAGTGCACCAGAGGTCGCATAGCTGTCTTCGATCGCATCTTTCGACTTTGGTGCCATCGTCTTGCCCATACTCCTAAAAGTACCTAAGAGTGTCTTGCGCAAATGGAAACATGCACATCTTGTTGGTTTGCAGCGCTGCTCTCAGCCACGTAGTTATGGTCTTGGTTGTACATATAAAGATGCCAGTGCTGTCTGTTGAAAAGCGCGTCGACCCCTAGTGTTCTGGAAGAAGACCGAGCTGGCGAATGGTCTTGTATTGCGCTGCATCAATAGCATCAGACGGCAGCGTCTCCACGTTGCAGCAAGCGCGTACCTGGGATGCCCGAGAGCGCGGCGGCGGCAAAGCCGACTTGCGGATTGGACACATTGAACTCGAGCACTTTGTTGTACTCGACAAATTGAAAGTTCTCGAACCGACGCCGCGTGAGCTTGTCGGAAAACTTGTTCATCGTGTCCTACAACGGCAAGACAATATGCACAAACAAAGACATGAGAGAGCGCGTTACCCAGGGACCGTCGCCGACGCCGACCATGATGATGGCTGCATCGCAAGCGTCAGCGAACCAGAATAAAGATGGTAACGTACACAAGGCATAGTTGGAGGCGGTGACGATCGAATCGGCAGTCTCAGTCTCGCACGTCACTTGACCGTCGGCGATGATGACAAGAATGTGATACTGCTGCGTTGCCTTGACGAGGCGTACTGCCTCTTCGATGATTGGCGTAAAACTCGTGGGTCCCGCGAGTGCCACCGTAGGTGTCACGACCTTGTAGCGCTCTAGAGCGTTGGTGAATCCGCGGCACGGCGCGTCGTCGAGTTTGAAGCACGACACATCGCGCGTCGTGGCGTCGCCAAAGCCGTACAGTCGAATGAGCTGGCGCTCATCGAACGCTTCCAGCGTCTTGCCCAAGGTGCGAATCACCGCCTACGCACGACACGTGTCAGCCACAAGCCTCTGAAAGACGAGGCACCTGGTACGGGTTGGCGTCGACGCCGCTTGGGTCAATGTAGTGCAGCGACTTGCCAAAGGACCACTTGCCATTCCACTATCGATAATACTATCCATCAATCGATTGAAAGAGACAATCGAAGCGTACGTCGTTGGAGCGCGTGTAGTCGATAGCAATGAGAAGGTGCGACGTCTCGAGGCCGGCATCCTGCAGCGACGTCTGGAGCTCCTCTGATTGCAAGCGTGAGGTGCAGACATCGCAGCGTAGAAAGGTACCGTAGCTTTCGTACTTCGTCGCCGTCGACTTGCAACGGCGCGTGGACGAGTGCAGGCTCTTCTCCTCTTCGGCGCCGCAGCACGCCGAGATCAATTGCCCCATCGTCGTTCCCAGTGCAAACTGAGCGCTGATTGGTGCATCATAAACAGGCCGCATACGTTAAATAGGTTAAACCCATCACAACGAGCGTCAAGCAGGAAACCAGACGCGACGTCATCGCCAGCTCGCCACAGCGTTGACGTCAATCGCATCCCTGGATAGCACCTCCCATCGCCTCGAAGTCGACTCATATACACTTGACAATATATAGACCTCAATGGCTCTTGGGTGTGGCCCGAGAAAAGGCGATCGACCAGGACGCTATCATAGGAGCCCCAATCGCCGAATGGCCTTGTATTGCTCTACACCGAGCATCGCTATATACGACACGCTACATAGCTAGAAGCCGTACCTGGGATCTCCATGAGGGCAGCCGTGGCAAAACCAACGTCCGGGTTTCGGGCGTTGAGCTTGAGAACGCTTGCAAAATCGACAAATTGAAAGTTGTCAAAGCGACGGCGCGGAAGCTGGTCGTCGTATTCGTGCATCATGTTCTAGCAGCAGCTTTGTTTGCAACGAGCATACGAAAAGTGCGCAAACGAACCCAAGGACCATCGCCGACACCGACGACCACGATGGCTACAAAGACGCAGCCACATGAGCCATATACGCTCTGGTGACGTACAGATCGGGTAGTTGGACGCCTCGACGATTGCGTCTGTGGTTTCTTTCTCGCTCGTGACTTGACCGTCTGCAACGATGATGAGAATGTGGTACGCATGCGTCTCGCGCGTGATGCGGATGGCCTCGCGGATCACGGGGGCAAAGTTCGTCGGCCCCGAGAGCTTGACGCTTGGCGTCACTTGGTTGTAGCGCGCGAGGACCTCGGCAAAGCCTTCGATCGGTGCTATTGAGAGCGGGAAGCACTTGCTGCCCTGCGTCGTGATGTCGCCAAAGCCGTACGCTGGGATCAACCGGTCGTCGTCAAACACTTCAAGCGTGCGGCCCAAGATTTGGATCACAGTCTACCAGCACCACAGTCAGCGACACAAATGCAATGGGCGCTAGTATTGCCTGGTAGGGGTTCAACTCATGTGGGTCGAGGGCGTGGAGGCACTTGCCGTGAAAGCTGTGTTCGCCGCTCCACTAGACGAAATGGCGATATTGAGAGCTACAGTACGAAGTGAGCAATTACACCTCATTCGACTTGGTGTAGTCGATGGCGACGATCAAGTTGGACGACTCGAGCCCCGCGCGTCGAAGGGCGTCTTGGAGCTCGCCTACAAAGGCCGGCGATGCCAACCAGCCATGGCAAGCGGCGCTCGCACCGTAGGTTTCGTAGTGATCCGGAATCGAGCGAAAGGGGTGCAGCGCTCCAGGCGGCGTCGCATCGTCGCTCGTGCCGCACGTCGAGAACAAGAGACCCATGGCCCAAGCAAGAAAAGAGCAAATGTCGCGCGAAATTATGTGCGTCAAACGGCAATGACGTTAAACGGTTTTAACGTCGACTGTGATCGCGGGAATGATGATGCGGATGTTAAGCCAGCCGGACTGAGCCCAACGTAGACAGAGGTTCTCGGTGCGGAACGACGTCGAGAGGGAAAACATGACTCACTACGTCACTCGCCTGTTGAGACAACGTTCATTGCGGCGTCGACGGAGGCTTCGAGCGCACTTGCGCTTCACTACTAGTATTAATAGTAGTTCTTTTGATCGTGTCTTTGCGAAGGAGCACAATCAGCAGCAAGATCTTGGAATTCTTACACTGTATCGGGTAGTTTAGCGCAGTCAAACCAGGCGCATCAAGTCGGATATTGCTGCAATGGTTCAGGTGCAAACCTGTCATGACAAGGCCAAGCATAGCTCTCTCGACGTGGCGTTTGATGGTGTTTGATCCTTTTCGCTTTTGGAATACGATCGAAAACGAAGATGTTTTCGCCAACCGGACAGACAGACGCGCTTCAAGAACCCTAGGGATGTGTCGATTTAGGATTTGGTGCGCTATCCATCGTCTCGCTTTAGCTCGTCCACGGAGTGCCGGCAATGCCTCGCCGCACCTACGCCCATCTTGCTTCCTCGCCTCGTTGCTGTGTCGGTAGCATTGATTGTGCGTTAAACGGTTTTACCCTGTTTAGGTAATTCAACGCATTTAACACATGCCACCGGTTAAGCCGGCTCCAGAGTGCTGGTCCTCAATTTTTTAAAACGGCCCACTTCATTGATTTGCATTCAGCAAGGCCGTCTGGTTCAGTTGGCCATTTTATTTGCTTGTCGCAGTCACTCGTGCGATGGGCTCGGACAACAGCAAGCCGAAGCCGCAGACCCGCGCGCCCGTGCCGCGTTCGCCGGCGTTCCAGCGCATCCCGGACCAGTACGAGACCTACGGTACGCCTTTCTCACCCCGCGCAGCGACTCAATATCGGCGCAGAGCAACTGCAGCATGCGCTGCGGGCGTCGGGCCTCGAGTCGTCCAACTTGATCCTCGCCATCGACTACACCAAGTCCAACACGGTAGCCGTATGTACATGCCCGGCGCATGCTCACACGCGTGCTAGTGGACGGGTCAGCAGTCGTTCCAGGGCAAGTGCTTGCACCACATTGACCCAACGGGCCAGACGTGGAACCCGTACCAGGTATTACACGCAATACCAGCAGCCAGCACGTCAACCGCCTTGCTTTAGTCGGTGATTCACATCATGGGCAAGACGCTCGAAGCGTTCGACGACGACAAGCTCATTCCGGCCTTTGGCTTTGGCGACGCCACGACCGGCAGCCGTGCTTGCTTTCCGTTTGTCCCGAACGGCGAAGTGCTCACGGGCTTTACCCAAGTGCTCGAGCGCTACAACCAGATTACGCCGGCAATGGCGCTCTCGGGACCGACTAACTTTGCGCCCGTCATCAACGAAGCCATTCGCATCGTGCAGGCGCATCGGTCGTACCACATCCTTGTGATCATTGCCGGTACACAGCGTCTCTGCCTGCAGCATGGACGCTCATCCCGCGTAGATGGCCAAGTCACCAACGAGAAGGAAACCATCGACGCGATCGTTGCCGCGTCCAACTTTCCCATATGTACGTCGACGAGACCGCAAAGGACGACAACTCATGTAACATGATGACGCAGCGATCGTCATGGTTGGTGTCGGCGATGGTCCGTGGGAGATGATGCAGCGCTTCGACGACCAGCTCCCTACGCGCAAGTTTGACAACTTTCAATTTGTCGAGTACAACAAGACGCTGCGGCACAACCCGCGCAACCCCGAAGTCGGCTTTGCCACGTCGGCCCTCATGGAAATCCCAGGTACGGACTCGCTCGCCTGTGCCGCAATCAATGACATTCTATAGATCAATACAAGACCTTGCGGCGCCTCGGCATGCTCTAAGCAGCGCCCTGATAGTAGCTATCCGGCTTGTCGCTGATGTATCCCAATGCATTTGCTTTTGTATGCACTTACGCCTTGGCTTGCAGAGGGGGCGAGGGCTTCGTGCAGAGCCATTCCGTGAAGCGTGGCCCTTGTCGGACTGGGAACCTGCCACGCTTCCGCGACGGTATTGGTTGGAAAGATGACATTTGGACCAATCCAGGAGCGCAGACGTTGGAAAAGCTACCACAGACCCGTGCTATTGTATTTCCTCGATTCTCATACATTATCCAAGAAAGAGTTAAATCAGTGGATTCTATTTTCGAAGCGCAGAACCCATCACTCTGCAATCTCAACCATGGGCGCCGAGAACAGTCGCCCGACGCCACGCCCGAGCAGCACCTTCCGCGCAATCCCGGACCAGTACGAGACCTATGGTATGTCTTCGCTACGGTGGCCTCGCCGCTTAGCGTAGCTTAGAGCAGTTGCAGGCGGCGCTGCGGGCCGCCGGCTTGGAGTCGTCCAACCTCATCGTCGCCATTGACTACACCAAGTCCAACACGGTACGCCATGGCATGCTCGAGGCGCGTTCTCATGCATGCTGCAGTGGACGGGCCAGCATTCATTTCAAGGCAAGTGCTTGCACGACATTGACCCAACAGGCCAGACGTGGAACCCGTACCAGGTACTGCCTGCAAGACCGACGCAGCGAGCAATAGGCTTGTACTAGTCGGTGATCCACATCATGGGCAAGACGCTCGAGACATTTGACGACGACAAGCTCATTCCGGCCTTTGGCTTTGGTGACGCCACGACGGGCGGCCGCGCGTGCTTTCCGTTCCTGCCGAACGGCGAGATCTGCACCGGTTTTGGCCAAGTGCTCGAGCGCTACAACCAGATCACGCCCATGATGGCGCTCTCGGGACCGACGAACTTTGCGCCCGTCATCAACGAGGCCATTCGCATCGTGCAGGCGCAGCGGTCGTACCACATTTTGCTCATCGTTGCAGGTTTCCCTTGCTAGACAATATGGTTTGACACAGACGACATTGCCTGTAGATGGTCAAGTCACGAACGAGAAGGAGACCATCGATGCGATTGTCGCTGCGTCCAGCTACCCGATTTGTACGTCGACGCAGCGCAGGAAGACAGTTGTAACCTGCTGTGTATTAGCCATCATCATGGTTGGTGTCGGCGACGGCCCTTGGGGCACGATGGAGAAGTTCGACGACCAGATCCCGTCCCGGCGCTTTGACAACTTTCAATTTGTCGAGTACGCCAAGATGCTGCGGCAGAACCCGCGCAATCCGGAGGTTGGCTTTGCGACCCAAGCCCTCATGGAGGTGCCAGGTACTAGGACCGTGCACCCGTATACGCTCCATGTGTTTGGGTAGATCAATACAAGATCATCCGCAAGCTCGGTTTGCTGACCAACGAGGCGCCATCCTCGTTCATTTAAGCGTTATTAATCCAACGGTTTCGTGCATGCTACCCGGCTATAGACAGGCGGGAGCCCTAGCCGCCACAACACTCGCCACAACGGCCGCCTATATTTAGTCGCATGGCGTCGCCGGACCGGCCGATCGAGCTCGTCGAGGACCTCCTCGGCGCGCTCCTCTTCCTTCTCGCGGTGGTCTACGCCGTGGCGCTCGAGCTCACGCGGCGCCGCGTCGTGTCGCTCTCGCAGCTCGCGTTTGCGTTGGCCGCGACCATTGGCGTCGGCGTCGTCGGCGGTGCCCTCGAGCACCAGCTCTCGAACGAAATGCTCGACCTCGCGCTCTTTGGCTCGTACACGCAGACGTACGTGGCGTTTAAGGTCGCGCCGATCGCGTGCGCGGTAGGCATGACGGTCGGCGTCGCGATCTACCTCTCGCTCTGCAGCTGCGCTTGCTGCTGCGACGCGCCCGAGATGGAACACGCAAGCCATGAGAGCTGCATTCTGCGGCGCCTGCGGCAGTCGACATCGGTCTACCTCGTGTCGGCCCCGGCGCTGTACGTTGTCATTGGCATGCGCCTCAACGCGCGGATTCGGCTGAGCGCCATCAAGCCCGTGGGCGGCACGCTGCACTGGCAGGCGTTGCAGTGCCCTCTCGTGCTCTCGACTGTCCACATGGGTAGCCTGCTCCTCATCTTGCTCAAGCGTATGCTCGACCACGCCGCGCCATCGAGTGACGCTCCTGCGATGGCTGACACGGTCGTGTCGACGCCCGTGGGCAAGAAGGCGACGCCTCGACCGTCCTTGTCACCGCGCCACCGGGCGCCCGCCAAAGAGGCCAAGTCGTCGCCCGCCAAGCCTGGAGTGTCCAGTGCCAAGATGCACAACAGCGTTGTGCACGCTCTCACGGTTGCCACCACGGCGCCGTCACCGGCCAAGGTGCCAGAGCCCAGTGGCCGGGTCAGCCCCAAGATCCGCCCCAAGCTCACGCTCCCGGATGCGATTGTCGGGGTCCGGGCCAAGGCCAAGCCAGCTATCACGTCGCCGCGCAAGGACGACAGCGAGAGTCGGCCACGCGCTCGATCGGCGCTGCCGTCGCCGGCGACGTCGGTCGAGTCGGATGCAAGCTTTAGCAGGCCGCTTGGAAAGGCGCACTCGGACCACGAGCGACCTCGGATGGTCGCGCGCCGGCGGAGGTCGGGTCCGCGGGACGACGGCAACATGTCGGGCCTCATTAGCAGCGAGAGCGAGACGGACGAGGACATGCTCGTGCCGTCGAGCAGCCGCCAGTTCACGTCCGAGTTTGCAATCGACCACAACCTCGCAACGCCACTGCACGACGACCGCTGGGTGCTCTGCTACGACGAGGCGACCGGCGCAGGGTACTACTACTGCCACGAGACGGGCGAGAGTCGGTGGGAAAAGCCCAAGTGGGAGTAGTCAAGTCGCGCCATGTTGATAGAAACAAACAAGACAATGCCATCATCACGTTGTCTCTACAACGCTGCCTTGGGCGACGACCCGTAATGGTACAGGAACGCATCGAGAAAGCCCGCAATCTACCACATGAGTTCACACACTCGACGTTAAGAAGGAGCAGCGTACCGAGACCATGCCGCCGACAATGGCGCAGACACGCATGAGAAAATGCGTAAACGGCACGCGGGCCGCGTCCATTTGCACCATAAAGGGCGAAATGTCAAAGATGAAAAAGACGCCTGCGACGACAAGAGACTGTGAGATCCCTCGTTCGTTCGTTTAAAGGACGCACCTGGAAGCACCGTCATTTGGCCGTACGGGTTGAGGAACCGCGTTTGCTGCGTGTACGAAAACTAGAACCGATGAGATCTGATAGGGCGATGGCATATTCGTACCTGGTTGGACTGGACGCTGCCGTACCCGTCGTCGTAAATGGTGGGCACGATCTTCAAATAGTATTGGTAGACAGCGCCCGCTACGAGAGTTGAGATCGATTAGATCGACAAATGACATCATTGTTTTCTAGGCGCACCCTTGGTCATCCCATCGAGCGGGTTCGACTGCCCGGGAAACGGCGTGCCAAAGTAGAGCCTGGACGGAAGGTCAACCAAGGAAAGCAAGCCATCTATGGTAGCGTACTTGTGCACGACATGCGATGCGTTGTACGAGTACTGCTGGCCGGGCACAAACTGGTGCACGAGCCGGCCCTGGCGGTGGAAGGTTCGGCCGAGTGCGACGTGGAAGTTGCCTGCCACGCGGTTCACGGCCATCGTGCCATGGAGACGGCAGCCTTCACCATCCTTGGACTCGCTTTCCTCCTTCCCGGCCTCGCGCATGCACTGCTCGGTAGCCTCGGCTTCCTCGAGGGATTTCTCGCTAAACATGAACGCCTCCTTGACTTCGTCGCACGAGTTGCAGCACAGCGTGCCCGTCGGGTGCAGCGCGTCGTAGCAGCTGCCGCAGTAGTTGGGCGGCAGCGTCGCGGGCACCTCGGCGCCGTTCGGGACGTGCGAGATCGCCTTCCCAATCGGCGTCCCGTCCGGCGCCAGCCGCGTCTTGAAGACTGTGTTGTGCAAGTTGACCTGGAGCTCACCCGCCACGTCCATCGAGTTCATGTGCGCCTCTGCATCGCGATATGAGTGCTAGGATAGGAAGAGATGCATCGTCGTACCGCGGCAGTTGAGCGCCGGGTAGCTAATGTCAAACGTGATGAGGAGCTTCTCGTTCGTCGACGTGTCGACGACCATGTGCTCGTGGCGGTCCACTGTAAGGTAGTGGCTCAGCTCCGAGAGGAAGAGGATGACCATGACCACCATGGCGACGAGTGACACTGCGGCAGCTCCATCATGAGGCCTCGCCGCGTGCATGGCGTCGTACCTGTGGCGCCGGTCTCGGTCTGCACCTTGAACTCACGATGGAGCTTCGGGTAGACGTCAACCTTCTTGAGCATGCGACTCGTGCTGAAGCCATGGTCCGCGTCCTCGTCCTTGGCGACGGTGCGCTGGCGCAGCATCGTCGTCCTTCGTACACGTGGAGTTGGAATCTGCGCACCGGATAACGACCGGATACGCAACACCCCAGACGATGGCTTTCCAAACCATGTTGATTTAATAGCTTCGAATTAGTAAGCAATACAATGCAAAGTTGATAATAGCATTAGGTCAGTTGTGTGCTGACAATGGATAATTCCACGCAACCCTATCCGACGCGCCATCCCACATCACGCTAGGGTTATCTCGCGCGCTTGTTTGTGGGCTTGTCCGTGGGCTTGCGCCAAATGACCTTGGCTTGCGACGACACAGGAATAGCCGATGCTGTTGATTGTACGAGAGTGGTCCAGGACATGGACACGACGCAGACTCGAGGCCTGAGAAAGGCCATAATCTACGACCCGGTCCCGAAAAGTCAGTGCGACGTAGCGCTCTTGCGCAGTAGCTTGAGCGACCCCTGTCGACGTCTACGCTCACTATCAACACGGGAAGGAATCGCCAGCGTTCCCACCGCGCGTGTCATTTGGTTGTGGAATGTTGCGTGGAAATAGACCGTGCAACGTCCATTCCTAAATTTTTGCTCTTTGTCAAAAGTTTTGGGAGCCGACACCGCGACCAACATTCCGTCAACTAGAGCAAATCTTCCGAAGCCATTTCCGCTCTTGCCAGCCCGCCGCAACATGGGCGGCCTCTTCTCGTCCATCGCCCAAGCCGTCGTCAGCGCGCCGACAGCGAGCTTCGAGGCCATCGCCGATAAGTATGAGACCTTTGGTACGTGCAACGTTCGTCCACGCGGCTAGCTCATGCCAACTCCAGAGGAACTCCAGCTCGCGCTGCGCCAGTCAGGCCTCGAGTCGTCGAACCTCGTCATGGCCATCGATTACACCAAGTCCAACGAGGTACAATTTCTTCGTGGCATGGCAGGAGCTTGAGAGATGGTGCGTAGTGGAGTGGCCAGCGCTCGTTCCAAGGCCGCTGCCTCCACGACATTGACCCCAAGGGTTTCGAGTGCAACCCGTACCAGGTACGACCGATCGACCTCATTCCATGTACAGGCAGGATGTATCTCATGCCGGCGATAGTCTGTGATTCAGATTGTGGGGCGTACGCTCGAGCCGTTTGACGACGACAAGCTCATCCCTGCGTTTGGGTTTGGCGATGCCAAGACAGGCGGTCACTCGTGCTTCAACATGGGCCTCGGCGGCAAGCCGTGCGAAGGCTTTGCCGAGGTCCTCGCGCGCTACAACCAGATCACGCCGACGCTGCAGCTCTCGGGGCCGACCAACTTTGCGCCCGTGATCCACGAGACGATCCGCATCGTGCGCGAGACGCGGCAGTACCACATCCTCGTCATCGTCGCCGACGGCCAAGTGAGCAACGTCAAGGAGACGTCGGACGCGATCGTCGCGGCGTCCAACTTTGCCATCTGTACGTTCCTACAACATCTTTAAACCTCATGATGGTGCGTAGCCATCATCATGGTCGGCGTCGGCGACGGCCCTTGGGACATGATGAACGACTTTGACGACAACCTTCCGTCCCGGCGCTTTGATAACTTTCAGTTTGTCGAGTACGCCAAAGTCCTCCAGTTCAACAAGCGCAACCCCGAAGTGGGCTTTGCGACCGCCGCCATGATGGAGATCCCAGGTACATCTTCTTCACACCTTGAATGCGTGCTCATTGTCTGGTGCTAGAGCAATACAAGGCGATCCGCAAGCTCCAGCTTCTCTAACATGGCCTTTTCCACAAACTACACTAAAACCTATTTCCTTCTTTCCAGATCTGGACTTGAAAGCGACCAGAAATCCATTTCAAAACCTACCAGATTGATTGTTGTGGCATATGCTCATCATCCACTCTGAAAAAAGGCGGTGGCCGCCTGGTTGGTGCCCAAGAGACTGTGGTTGTTGCCGCCAATCGGCGCTTTGCACTCGGGGCAGGTGGCCACTTCCATCGCGCCGCCACACTCGGTGATCACGTACGGGTGGCCGTTCGGGCACGAGTACCTACATCGATCTAAGTCGGTAGCTCCAGAGTGATAAGGTACCAGTGGCCACCAAAGCCCGAATTGTATCCGTTCGGATCGCGTGCAAACACCTGGAAGATCTCCTTCTTCTCGGCTTGCGTGAGCGCGCCCATGCCCGAAGCTCGCGAGTACCACTGCTCCGCCTCGGCCTTTTGCGCCGGACTCGCCATCGCCGAGGCCGCAATCTCATCGACGCTGACGCGCATCTCGCGCAAGAGCGACTCGCGGTCCTTGCTCGCATACGGCTCGAGACCGCTCTGCATCGCGACCAAGCGCAGCTTGAGTCCGACTAGGCGGCAGTCGACAAGCGACCGGATCGACTCGACTGCGACGCAGAGGGCCGTGGCCTTGGCTTCGAGCTTGAGCGCCGTGTTGATGAGATGCTTCATCTTGTTGGTCTTGTCTTTCGCCTTGCCCTCGGCGTTGGGGAGGCCGTGGAGCACGACCAGGGCCACTTGGAGCGCCTCGAGCTGCAAAAGGGTCAGCGCTTTCGACTGCATCGTGTTGCGGTAGCGGTGCATGTTGAGATCCGGCGTGTCGTTGCGCTGGAGAAAGTGCAGCTCCTTGATCGCCATCTTGTGGCTCGGCGCCAGGCGTCCGCAGCGCGTCACCAGCGATTGGAACCAGCCCTAGCGTGCGCATGAGATATTGCGTGCCTGCTACGGCCAAGTACCATGGCCGCCGTCGCATCCAACAGCGTCTGTGACGCCGCGCGCTTGGCTGTCGACGCTGCGACGTCCGCGATTGCTTCGTTGAGGTACTTGATCTCGGCTTCGTACAAACTCTGAAAGTTAAGCACGCGGGCGTAGCGGTGCACGCCTCGAAGCGGCTGTCGACAGAGCGGACACGACTTGCGCTGGGACGTCATAGCTTGCAGCGTGAGTGGTTTGATGCTGGTGTATTTGCCAGACGCAGCGTCGAGCGCAAAGACACTGCCCAGATCCAGGTACCCGTCCATGCTCTCGGTCGTAAAGCTGTGGCCGCACGGCCACGTAACGAGCGGCGACTCGTCCGGGTCGTGCTCTTCGAGTGTCGTCTGCATGATCAAATCGACAACTTCGAGGCGGTCGTTGGGCGGCGCGCAGTGGCGACAGCTCTTGGGCGTCGGACAGGCTTCGCCACAAAGGCCTGGGCATTGGTGGCCACAGCTCAGATCCTTCGTGCAGCGCTCGTCGCACGGCAGGCGGAGGCACGGGCTCCCGCATGGCAGCGGACAAGAGGCCAGTGTGTGCTGACACGACCACATGCACGGCTCCGAGCACGATGTGCACGGCGCCTTGCACGGCAGCGGACACTTGGAGTGCTCGCACATGGCCGTGCACGGCAGTTCGCACGGCGGACACGCGTCGGCCGCATGGCAAAACGCCTTGCAGGCATGGCCGCAGACAAGCCCGCGGTCGCACGGGTACTCGCAGCTTCCTGCGTGCATGGGTTTCTACAGCAATAAGAGTCAATCGCAACGCGTCGAGCAGGATCAATACCTCGACAACGATGCACGTGGCGCAGCGCTGCGTGCACGCGTGGTCGCAGTCCCGCATGCCACCGCACGGCGCCGAGCACCCTTTCGCAATCTTGGCGAGGGCCTTCGCGTCCTTGTCGCGCGTCGCTTTGGCCAGCGCCTCGGCGATCGCGCAAGAGACGACGACTTCGTGCTTGCACACGGGCATCGTGACGCGCACCTAAACAAGAGAGCGTCATCGTGCTGGGCTTTGGATTGTAATCCGACCTGCGTCGGGCATTTGATCGTGCGCAGAGGATCATGGACGAGTGCGCAGGCCACGTTGAACACGTCGTGGCCGCAGTCAAGGCGGTGAATTGGGATCGTCTCACCGCACCGACACGCCTCGTGGCAGCGTTGCTTGCAGAGATGCCCACAGGCGGCGACCGCGCGCGTGCACGCTTCCAAGCAGACGCTGGTCACGTGCGCCGGGTCGTCAGGGTGGCAGAGCTTGGCGCAGGCGTGGCCGCACGGCAGGCGCGCATCGCAGCGGATCGTGCAGCCACCATCAGGCGAGAGGCGTTGCATGTCCTGGACGCTTGTGATGCGGTTGACGGTGCCGTGGATCTCGCAGCGCAGCTCGACATAGTTGCCCAGCCTAGAGTCACGGGAGATAAGAGACGATATACGCAATGTAATATAATGATGCCGCACAACTGCTTGTGCTCGAGGATGTCGAGCACAGTGTGAAACATGCGTGCGTGGCGGCACTTTTGGAGCGTCGACGCCGACCCGAGGAGCAGCATCCCGTGCTTGGCGCGCGAAAGCATCACGTTGACGCGGTTCGAGACCTTGAGGAAGCCGGTCGAGCCGGCCTCGTTGTTGCGCACGGTCGACACCAACACAAAGTCAGCTTCGTTGCCTTGAAAGTTGTCGACGGTCGAGAGCCGCACACACTGCTTGAGGCTCTTGACGACGACCGAGGCGGGCTCGAGAGGAGCATTAATGGCGACCGCGTCGTCCCCGTTGGCAAGCTCGAGTTCCCGCAGCGCCTCTTCGTCCTTCTCTTCCAGTGCGAGGCGCAGGTGCTTGGCCTCGAGGCGGCGCCGCAGCAGCTGAAGCTGCCCCAGGTACGGCGTGAGGATCACAACGTCGTTCGCACCGTTGATGAGCGCATGCGTCGCCAGCTCGACCACAAGATCCGCTTCCCCAGGATTCTGGTGCGAGAGCTCGTTGCCGGCTTCGAGATACGCATGGTCAAAGAACCACAGCGGGTGTCTGAACCCAAGCACACGGGGGTACGTCGAGACGTTGGGACCGTCTTCGAGCTGCGGGTACAGTGGGATGCGAATAAGGTCGCAAATGTCTGGCGCCATGCGGCGTTGCGTATGGAGTGTGACCAAGCCACCTACCCATGCCGTCAGAAAATGCAAAGCAAAATCGCGTACCGTGCGCCGTCTCGACGAGTCGCTCAAACATCGAAATGTCGAGGTCGTAGCCGCGCTGCGACTGGTAGCTGAGCGGATATTCGTTCACGAGCGGGCGCAGTTGCTGGTGATCGCCAATCTGGATAACGTGCTCGGTCGCTGACGACAAGCAGCTGAGAAGATGTGCTTCGAGGACCTCGCCGGCCTCTTCGATGAGCACTACCTTGGGCGCGAGGCTGCGCACGAGCTCTTGGTGCATCGCGCAGCCCGTCGTCGTCATGCCCACAATCTTGGCCTTGAGCAGCAACCGCTTGTCGCTGCTCGTCTGGAGCTCCTTGAGCTTCGCGACGCAGTCTTCGTACTGAACAAAGACGCTGTTGTTGCGCGTGCTGAGCTCGGTTGCGTAGTCGTTCTTCCATGTCTCGAGCACGAGGCGGCGTTGCGGGGCCGGCCAGTGCCACAACGACGCACGGTGCAGCCCGTCGGGGCTCGGCGCACCACGTTCCCAGTCCTTGAACCGCTTGCTTTCCTTCTTCTTGGCGTTTTGCTCTTTATAGTCGTCGCCGCCCTTCTTCTTGGGCTTGTCGTCCCACGTCTCGCCGTCTTCGTCATCGTCGTCCGACCACGGACGCTTCGTCAGCTTGCAAATGTCGTCGTATGCGTCTTCGTGCTCGTACTTCCACCACTGGAAGAAGGTGTCGTCCGACGCGTCCGCGAGGACGTCGTCAAGCGACACTTCGAGTCTCTTGCACTCGTCCTTGACCGCAAACCGGCGATGCGCTTCGTTGCGCGAGAGCGGCGTGCCTTGGCGCATCGCGTACAAGCTCGCTGGCGTGAGCACCTCCGACTTGCTCCGGCCGCCGACGCGCACCATGTCCTTGATGTTGACAATCTTTTTGGTCACGAGCTCTTCCAGAAACTGGTCGAGCGCGTGGTTGGTGTAGCAGACGCACAGAATCGGCCCCATGTTCAGATGGGGCTGGCGCACGAGCGCCTCGACGATGCGAACACCAACGTAGCTCTTGCCCGTGCCGGGCGGACCTTGGATGAGGCACACTTGCTGCGTCATGGCCGCGCTAAACGCCACAATCTGCGACGCGTCCAGAATGAGCGCGTGCGCGTGGTCTTCGAGGAGCTCGACGAGCTGCGACCGGCTCTCGATGCGCACGTTGCGCAAGTCAATCGTCGACCGGTACCGAGGCGATAGCAAAAACGTCAAGTCAAACGACCGCGCCTCGCGCAGGTACGGCGGCATCGTCGACCACAAGCGCTGGCCGGCGGGCCCGCCATAGAGGCACGCTTGGAGCTCGGCCGGCAGCGAGAGCATCTCGGGCGACTGCAGCGACTGGAGCACGGGCGCGTACGACGTGAAAAAAAGGCCGCGCACTTCCAACAGCACGTGGTTGCCGCCGCGCGCGAGTGCGTGCACGAGCAATCGGATCTCGCACGGATTTAAGAGCTTGATGCCAATGCGGAACGTCTCTTGGGACGACACGAGGTCGGCTTCGTCGCGGTCGGCGACAGTGCCAAAGATGAGCGTGTCGCAGGCCATGTCGGCGACCGTATCCAGCTCGGTGCGCGGACGTGGTGGGCGGTTGTAGTCGACCGCAAGCGCAATGCACACAAGGGACCCGACCGTGTAGCGCGAGTCGGCAGCCCAAAAGGCCTTGAGCGCCGCCTTGGACGCGTTCGCCACGGGCTGCGGCGCGCGGATCTCAAACACGATGCCATGGCGCTGCGAGCCGCGCACCTTGTGCATCTCGACGCCTTCGGCCACGTTGAGCCGCGGGAGGTTGAGGTGGCGCGGCGGCTTCTTTCGCTCGCGCGCCGGCGTCGCCGGGTTGAGGTACCACTGCAACCCGACCTTCATTTGCGCGAGCGCATCTTCGCGCAGGAGGCGAAAGTGAAAGTCCACGTGGTCGGCCATCGTACTCTGCGCGTCGGCCTTGGGGTGGCGCGGCAGCGCGGGCGGCTCGAGGCTGCGCATCTCGCCGTTGGTCGGCAAGATGCGGATGTCATGAAAATCAACATGGGCATTGTCGTGCGTGGGCTGGGCCTCGACGACGATGGGGCCTCGGGGCACCGGACGCGCCGTTGGCAGCATCGCAAAGCGTGCCCCTATACACATGCATGAGATTTGAAGCTGTTCGGATACGAGGTGTGTACGCTCGGGCACGACGGGGGCGACGCGGGACGGGACCATTTCACGGCAAATCGAGATGGCTTCGTCGAGGTGGCGCAGCGCCTGCAGCCCGCGCTCGTCCAAGGTCGCACACCACGCCATGTGCTCGGCCACAAAGTCGTAATAGTCTTCGTCTTGGGGCGCTCTTGGCACCTTCTTGACGATCGTGAGGAGGAGCGAAGCAAAGGCGTTGAGCGTCTCGTAGTAGAACGTCAAGTGGGCAAAGCGGGCTTCGCCTTGCATCAAGCACTGATGCACGCGCGAGAGGAAGAGCGGCGTGTTGAAGAGGAGGCGGTACAAGCGCTTCGTGTCGGTCGTGTGGGGCGAGTGCACAAAGCCGCGCGACGTGAAAAATGCAAGAGCGGGACTGCGAGCGACTCGAACGACCCGTCAAGCACCGAGTACGGGTAGTTCATGATGGCCTCGAGCTTCTCGACGACGATGTCTTCCTTGTCCGTGAGGAGGATGAACTCGTCGACGATTCCAGCGTCGGCCAAGCCATCGACAAAGGCCTGCATGTTCTCGCGACGGTACCGTCCAGCATGGAAGGGATCCTTGCGCCGGAGCGCATAGGGCAGATCGATGGACGTGTCCCGCGCAGGTCGCGCGGTCGCCGGCCCTTGCCCGCGCGTCTGTAAGGCTCCCTTGAAGGCTGCCTTCGGGCCTCCTTTCTTGCTTCCTCCGCCCATGGCTGCAACTTGAAAATGAGCTGGAAATGGGACTGGGCATCCGGTCGTTGGACGTTGCTTGGACCAGAATCTGGCGGCGAGAGTATCAAGCGCAGAGATTCCAGCAGCTTGGATCGTCAATGGTGTTTTGATTCGTCCATTTTTAATATATTCAGCCAATCAGACGTGGGGTGTCCTCATCCTAGAAAGCCTCCTGCACGAGACGCCGGAGCTGTGCCGCCGACACCACCCACGACAGAGCGAATGCGACCTGCTGCCCTTGGAGGAAGATTCAGCCTCCGATATGAACCAGCAGCGACAAGGGTCTAGGTTGAAGTGAACTAGAAGGGTTAGGCACTTAGAAAGGTGTTAATACTGGCATGTGCCACAAATAACCAAAAGTAGCCACATTGGCATTGCGATGCGCAACATCGTGTACGACACGCTTCTCTTGGGCACGCAGGACTGTGGCAGCTCGCTCGTCGTGCTGCAGGGCCAGTTTGATGTGCTGCGAGCGATCTTCAAGCACCATGCGCTGGCCTGGGTGACCCATATCGATGTCGCGAGCCCCGGCTACCTGCGCCTGGGCGTGACCGCCGAGGACCGGGAGGACGATGACTTGACCCGGCCGTTGCCCTCGGAACCGCTTGACGTCCGCGGGCACTTTCCGCTGCCCATGACGGAAACGATTGATGGCGTGCTGCAGCTGCGACAGCTTCACGTCAACATGATGCCGATCTACATGGACACGTACAGCGCCCTCCCGCCGGACCTGGAGCGCTACCAGCAGCTTATCCTTGCGTGCGTCCGACGGCTCCCGTTTGATGAGCGTGGGAATGTCGGGTATCTGACTGTATACGAGGGCTACGTCGATGCAGGGACAAGTCAGCGCCGCGGTGGCCTTTACATTGAAGCACCCAACGCCAAGCACCAGGACCTTGTCGACGCGTGTGCTGGCGGCGGGACCGTCGAGTGCACGGTCGAAGAAAAGTACTGGGGCGATGGCTACTGGGGCGATGGCTCAATTGTCAAGAAAAAGGTTGCAGGTGGCATCTTCATCGCGTCTAGCGTCGCCGACTCGTGCGAGGTATATCGACGCTTGGATCGCCTGCTGAATAAAAGTGCTCTCTATAGGTCTGGAACTGCACCATTGAAGACAAGGACGAGGTGGCGGGGCCCTTTGGCGGCATCGAGTGCCTTCGTGGTGTCCTCCGCGACTGCGACAGCATTAAGCTGGATGTGTACGAGCTGCTGTGGCTGACGGACCGCACGCCCCATGAATCGCTGCTGCTGCCGACGGGCACCTATCGCCAGTTCTTCCGCCTCGTCACGAGCAACGTTTCGCTGTGGTTTGCCGACCACTCGACTGCAAACTCTCTCGGGTGCGTCCCCACGGCGCGCATCGTACACGGCAACAAGTTTGCCACGACCCCCATCGCTCAAGGCCATCTAATGCTAACAGCGATGGCTTTGTCAAGCTACGGCATGTAGGAAGCTCACAGTGACATGCAAGCGAGACGGCGAAATGAATACTATGAGAATGCATGCTGCGTCGCTTCAGTTATGAAGTCGCCGTCCATGCAGCTTGCAGTAGCAGTATCTTTGCACCGTCCGCATCCACTGGTGACAGGCTGGTCCACCCATGGCATCCAGTGCTTGCGTGCAGCGACGGCGGTACGTACGTTCATGCTCATTAGGTGGCGGCCATTAGCCTAATACCCTCGCGAACACACGCGACTCGAAACGCGCTTGTTGGGCGACAAGGCGCGGTCGCACATCCCCGCGGTCCACGCGCTTCCTGGGGCGTCCTTGGCTTGTGCTCAAGTGATTACTGAACATACACTATTGATGATGATGACTTGACATAGAAGTGAAATAGTGTATGTTATCACTTATCGTCAAACATTAACCATTGCTACCGCTCTCCGCTCGTCAAATATTGAGCTTGTCGTGCCCAGGTGAGCATGTACAGTCGTCACAAAATCATTTCGCGTCTAGTCATGCTCTCTGCCGTAATAGTGATACCAGCAGGCGACTGGATGCAAAGAGGCATTGGACTTGACGTTTACTTTCTTACACTATTTCTGATTTATCTCCCGAAATCCTCTGGTGTTGGCCAGTAGGTGTTGGTTCTGCCCTCGGTCACGCTTCAAGTTGGCGTCGCATGCGCTCGCAAACCAAGGCGATGCGAGCACCAAGTCACCGCAGGAACGACGGGGAACCTTCGTCCTTGTTCTGCTCAACGTGTCGCCAGGTCGTCGTTGAAGTTGAAACAATTGCGTGACGTCGGCGACGTCGTTTCGGTCGTAGGCCGCTGATTCGCTGCACTTGTCCAATCAAAAAGGGCGGATTCAATCTTTCGTGTCGTGTAAACAGCACGTTGGCAGGATGATCGCGAAGATCCCATTGCCCAACTTGCCACTTTGCCCTCAGATCTCATGGCTGCCCCGTCGAACGTCCGCGTGCTTGGCCACGTCACGAAGGAGTTCCAGGACATCCTCACGCCCGACGCCCTCCGCTTCCTCGCCTTCCTCCACGAGAACTTTGAGACGCGCCGCCAGTCGCTCCTCCATGCGCGTTGCCAGCGCCAGCGCGACCTCGACGCCGGCGTCTTCCCGAGCTTCCTGCCTGAGACCAAGTACGTGCGTGAGAGCGACTGGAAGGTCGCGTCGATCCCCAAGGACCTCGAGGACCGCCGCGTCGAGATTACGGGCCCCGTCGACCGCAAGATGGTCATCAACGGCCTCAACTCGGGCGCCAAGTGCTACATGGCCGACTTTGAAGACTCGACGTCGCCGGTGTGGCACACGCTCGTGTCGGGCCAGATCAACCTCAAGGACGCGGTGCGCCGCACCATCTCGTACACGCAGGGCAACACTGGCAAGAAGTATGCGCTCAACGCGACGACGGCGACGCTGCTCGTGCGCCCGCGCGGCTGGCACCTCGACGAAGCCCACGTGACGGTCAACAACCAGATCCTCTCGGGCTCGCTCTTTGACTTTGGCTTGTACTTCTTCCACAACGCGCGCGAGCTCGCGCTCCGAGGCTCGGGCGCCTACTTTTACCTCCCGAAGCTCGAGTCGCACCTCGAGGCGCGCCTCTGGAACGACGTGTTTGTGGCTGCCCAGAGCTACCTCGGGATTCCCAACGGCACGATCCGCGCGACCGTCCTCATCGAGACGATCCTCGCCGTCTTTGAGATGGACGAGATCCTCTTTGAGCTCAAGGACCACTCGAGCGGTCTCAACTGCGGTCGCTGGGACTACATTTTCTCGTTTATCAAGAAATTCCGCAACCACGCGTCGTTTGTGCTGCCGGACCGCTCGGAGATTGGCATGACGACGCCCTTCATGGCCTCGTACGTCAAGCTGCTCATCCACACGTGCCACCGCCGCGGCGCGCACGCGATGGGCGGCATGGCGGCGCAGATTCCGGTCAAGAACGACCCGGCGCTCAACGACAAGTTTATGGCGGCGGTCCGCGAAGACAAGCTGCGCGAAGCCAACGCTGGCCACGACGGCACGTGGGTCGCGCACCCGGGCCTCGTCAAGATCGCGCTCGACGTGTTCAACCAGGTCATGCCGACGCCGCACCAAATCGCCAAGGTCGCCGAGGCCGGCAAGCACGTGACGGCCGCGGACCTCATCGCGGTCCCGACGGGCGGCATCTCGTACACGGGCCTCGAGGAGAACATTGATGTGTCGCTCGAGTACACGGAGGCGTGGCTCCGCGGCAACGGCTGCATCCCGCTCCACAACAAGATGGAAGACGCGGCGACGGCCGAGATTTCGCGCGTCCAGGTGTGGCAGTGGCTCCGCCACGGCAAGTCGACCACAGACGGCAAGCGCATCACGAAGGAGCTCGTGCTGAGCATCCTCGCGGCGTGCACGCAGAAGCGCGTGACGCAGGCCAAGGCCGGCAACAAGTACCAGCTCGCGCACGACGTGCTCGTCGATGTCTTGACGAGCGACAAGTTCGAAGCGTTCTTGACGCTGCCGTGCTACCCGCACATTGTCACGCTCGCACCCAACGCCAAGTTGTAAGCTCGATGTACTAATTTCAAACCTATGCATTTGTCCGTCTCCTCGGCTATCTACTATCTCGACAAGCCTCCTCGGCTCTCTGCTCTCATGAGCGATTGCATGCCGCGCCTTGAGAACTGGTCTCTTCGTCGCGAATGAGCTTTTCGGGAGCTCCTCATGTGTACCTTCTACCAATGTGCCAGCGTCATCGAGAGGCCGTATCCGCCTTGCTCCAAACGCCAGACAAGAGGAGGCCGTACTCCGAAACACCGGCGTGTGTACTTCAAGGCAAATAGGGAACGAAGGCTCACTGACTGCTGGAGCCCTGGCCACAGGCTCCTGGACAGTCCCATTTTAACGGTTTCTCGATAGGACTATCGTACTGATAG